AAACCTTAAAGCCCTAAAGCCCTAACACCCTGAAACCCTAAAGCCCTAACCCCTAAAACCCCAAACCCCTAAAGCCCTGAACCCCCAAAGCCCTTTAAGGAGCCCTAAAAAAAAAGATCCCTTTCAGGAACCCTATACATCCCTTTAAGGAACCTCCAACGTTCCTAAAAGAGCTACAGAAAGCTTCTCGACAAAAGGAGCCTCTGGCGACTCCGAGGTACCGAGTGCCACTTCCTCGACACCTGCTAGACTGGCAGACCGCCGTGGGTTTAGGGTTTGAGGTTTTGGATTTAGGGTGGGGGTTTAGGGCTTAGGGCTTTGGGTTTAGGGCTTTGGGTTTAAGGTTTGGGGTTTAGGGTTGGGTAGTTTAGGGTTTATAGACTTTAGGGCTTAGGGTTTTGGTTTTGGGTTTTGGGTTTTGGGTAGTTTAGTGTTTATAGAGTTTAGGGCTTAGGGTCCTGGTTGGGGGGTCTTGAATAGTTTAGGGCTTATAGAGTTTAGGGTTTAGGGTTTTGGTTTTGGGTCTAGGGTAGTTTATAGGGCTTATAGAGTTTAGGGTTTAGGGGTTAAGGTTTTTGGGTAGTTCAGGGTTTCTAGAATTTAGGGTTTGGGGTTTAGGGTTTGTGTGGTTTAGGGGAGCTACGGTTGAAGTGACTTAGGGTCCAGGGTGGACTGGCAAGATTTCGACAAGAAGCTGGCTGCTTGCAACATATAGCCCTCATAACACCAATAGTATAAAACATGCCCACACACATATATATATATATACACACATCTAGACATATACATATATATATATACATACAGACCTAGAGATAGATACATATGTAAAGCCATAAATATTATATATATATACACACACACTGCAAAAATATATATATATATATATATGTACGTGTGTGTATTGTTCATAGCAGAATACTTTTTCAACGAAACACCCTCGGCCATCCAACAGGGCTTTGCTCAAGAGGCCTGGGTAGCTCCAAGCCGGAACTTGCTGCGAGAGGTCGGACACAATGCTCCTGGAGTGGCGAACAGGGTTCCTAGGGCACCATATTTGTGACTTTGAAGGTTACCAGAAAATTTAGGGGTTTAGGGCATTGGGGCTTGGATGTAGGGTGTTGCTGGGAGTCAAGGCTGACGGCCTGCGGGCGTAGGCATCGGAGACTTAAACAAATGAATCAGGGTCCCACACAGCGCCCATATACTCCATTCACATGGCACCAGTTTAAGACTTTGAGTTCGGTTTCCGCTAAGGGTTCATGCTGCTGCGTTGTGGAGAAGGGGTTTGGCGGTTTTAGGACTTCGCTGTTCATACCTGCCTCGCATCATCACGAATCTAACAGCCCCTGCAAATCATGACATTAGCTTCGCCATAGCCCGGATCCCAATCACGCATCCGGGCATGCCCTGCCAAGATTTGCACTCCTGGCAGCCGAAACATCATGCGCGAGGCTTAAACTCGGAGACCAACACGGCCATCCCTTGAAGAGCAGGCCTACAACCGACGTCCCCGACAACCGACGTCACAACATCTCAAGGGCAAATCCCACCCCAAAAAAGCGCGCAAACCCGAAATCCCAGAATTCAAAACCCGAATTCCAAACCCTAAACCCTAAACACCCCCTAAAACCTGAGTCCCCGATTCCCAAACAGCAAGACCCAAAGCCTAAGACCCAAGCAGGGATGCCGTCACAGACAAGTCGCTGGAGTCGGTGCTGCGACATGCGAACGGTGACCAGGATGCCGAATCCCAGTCCCACGAGCAGCCAGTGGAACGGCTTGGGCCTTCAGCTTGCTTGGTTGGGGTTTAGGGTTTAGGGTTTAGGGTCGCTATGGTGCTTGGGGAATGGTTGGGTGGCTTATAGGCCTTCCCCCAAATGGTTCTGCATTTGGTCATTCCACAGGCCGGCCTGGAACAGCTTGGGCCCTGAGCTGTGCAGGGCCCCTTGAACCCTAAAGCCCTAAGTTTAGGGTGTAGACTTTAGGGTTGCTCAATCCTAAACCCCGAGGTTTAGAGTTGAGGGTTCCTAAACCCTAACCGGAAACCCCTAAACCCTGAACCCCCTCCCCTTTTCCGTGGAAGGCTTGGGTGGTTTAGGCCGCAGGATTGGGGGGTTCTGTCTATCTGTCTGGTCACATGTTCGTAAGTTACCACAGGGGTTTTCGGAAGCCAGCATTACGTGGAATGGGCTCTTAACCCACGCCTGCCCGCAAAAGTCAAGAAAGTGCAGATATGCTTGTGAAAATACCTTTCGGGAACAATGTAGCCTTGAAACTTAGAGAGTCGCATGTTTTCCCTACATGGCTCCTGTTTGTCATTCTCAGAGGCATTTATGCACTGTCTTGACTTTTGCTGGCATAGGTTCAGAGCCCATATTTTCCTTCCAAAAAATCCTGGCTTCCCAAAACCCTTAGCACTGTCTTGACTTTTGCTGACATGCGTTTGTTCAAAGCCCATGTTTCCAGACAAAGTTGGCTGCACCAGAACACAATGAGCCCACCTTTCCGATATTGTCATTGAAGGGCCTAGAATCCAATACGAAAGCCTCCAAAACGGAAAACCTGCAGAAAACAGCGCGGTAACATAGGTGCATGTGTGGATCTATTTATATGTCTATCTATCTACCGATCTATCTATTTATCTATCTATCTATCTATCTATTGATCTATCTAACGATCTATCGATCCATCGCCATGGACCTACCCACCTACCTACCTACCTACCTGCCTGCCTGCCTGCCTGCCTGCCTACCTACCTACCTACCGAGCGATCGATCTATCTATCTATGTATCTATATCTCTATCTATCGGTTGATCGATCTATCTATCTACCTATCGATCTATCTATCTATCCATCTATCTATCTACCTATCTATCGATCTATTGATCTATCTATCTGTATCTACCTATCTATCTATCTATCTATCTATCTGTCTATATACCTATCTAACTGTTTATCTACCCATACCTGTACCTATACCAGCCTATACCTGTGCCTATACATATACATAGACAGACACATACACATACACTTACATACATACATACTTACTTACTTATTACATACCTACATACATACATACACACACACATATATATATATAGATGCATATACATATAGAGAGAGAGACATGTACACGGTTCATGTACCAATGCCTACCTACAAGTATAATACATACATATATATATATATGCATACATACGTAGATGCGTACATATGTGTATATGTATATATGTATATATGCATATATGCGTGCATACGTGCATACGTACATACATACATACATACATACATACAGTTACATACAGTTACATACAGTTACATACATACATACACACATACATACATACATACATACATACATACAGACTCGCATATCGAGCAGTGCCAAGCACACGGCGGGGAGGCTGCTTGATTGCACTACTTGCTGCAAGACCGGTAACGAAAGACTCTAATGCAGACTTCTTCAACGAACATCACCTTCGGCCTGGGGAGTTCTTGTCAAGGGCTGGCGGATCCCTTACGAGGTTGCTAAGAATTGCCGCGCTGTGGCCGGGTCTACGCCTTTTCCAGCTACTTTCGTTCTGCAGGCGGACTCGGGTGAAAAGCGCATTGACACCAGGACATGTGGGCGTTCCATTTCTTGAGGTGAGTCTTCTCAGAAGATACAGTGAAGTCGGCAGCCGGACCGGCCAAACAGCAAGAAAGTAGCTTCGACATCGCACGTCGCGCATGTGAGATCACAGTCATTCGCATTCGTGAAGAGCTCGAAACCCGAAACTCTGAGCTCAGCCTCCACCGCGGCAGCACGACTCGAAATAGCACACGACCCTTTTGGACGATGCAGGAAGGCCCTCGAGGATTCTGCTATCGGATTTTCGTTCATAGAACCAAAGACGCGTCGTCGGGGCTTGCTGCTTAGTAGAGCTGGAGGGATGAGGTCTGCAAGATCTGCCTGAGTAGAATTCGGACCCTGATTTCGCTCCTGAGCACATAGATTTGCCGTGCATGATTACACGGCGGTGCTTTGATGGAGTTGCGGATGTTACTCCATCTGCAGGACTTTACGCCAAGTCTTGGCTGACGTAAAGGCCGCCCTGAATGTAGCGCGCCTCAGCAATAAGCTGCAGGACCCGGGCGCGTGCATGTGCAGGGTCTCCCGGGGTCTGCTCGCCCACTGCATTTCAACGAGATCTGCAGGAGGCGGAACACATCTTAAGGAAGGTGCATGAGCTGGAGGTGCTCGGATGCGACGGCTTTAGGCTTTGGGTGATTTTTGGTTGTTTAAAGCCAGGTTTGCGAGGGCTGTCCACGCGAGTCACCCACAAGAACCTTCGCCAAGTCGGGACACATTCAAGTCAGGAAACCTGCAGAGAAATGAAGACTGTCCGGGTAGTCTGCAAGCTCAGTGCTCCACGAGTTTCGCCTCCTTGTTCCCGACTTGCGCTGCTGCGGTTCAGCCTTAGAAGCTTTGATTTGCCCACAACCCACCGTAGACAACCAGCTGTAGAAACATGAGTGCAGGCTTTGATTGAAGCCAGCGAAAGTGAGGCGCAACTGCTCAGGGCAGCAAGCGATCATGCAGCACTCGAATCGGTAATTGCTGCAGGTTGCACTACTGGACCCGAAACATCTCAGTGCAATCCATTTCCCTGCAAGGAGGCTTCTGCGGAGCTTGCGCAGGCTCGCAAGCATCTTCCGCATGTCGGTGTTAACTGTTTCTTCGACAGCAAGACTGCAGACACTTTCGGGCCGACCGTGATCCCGAACGCCACGGCACATACCACAAAGGCTTTCGTGAACATCTCTCGACAGCTGGTCTTGGTACTTCCGGTGCTTGATCGATCGTCTGGAAGATCGGTATATGGCTTGACCTGGATGAGTTTGAGTAGCTAGTGGCAGCTAGTGCCAAGGCTATGTGACAATGTGGAGGAGCACAGGACCTTTGTAGTCAGAGCCACGAGGGCGGGTGGGAGGACTTGATCGCGCTCGATACGATTGTGCAGCCTTAACTTACTCTCAAGGGCACAGGAACGGGCGCAGGCCACTTCCGTTTCCTGCATCACTGCCTGGCAATCCCGACACCTGCGCACACTCGCCCCCAAGGAAGGTAAACAACTGCATATGCTAGTCCTACGTAGTCTGCTATACGAGCATAATGGAGTGTAGGCCGGAGGACTTTGGCTGCTGCGGGCTTTGTCCGGCGATGTGCGATGTGGAAGTCGACGCAAACCTGTCGGGTGATTCGGCGCTATCGATCTGTTCGCAAGTGGTCGACTTAGATGTTCCCAGCATGTTTTCACTGATAAGCCGACTTCACCGTCGCCATACCGCATTCTTGACATTGCTGACACGGATTCTCTCTGCGATTCTGCCGAGCGCTCCCCCAACCGGCTGCAAGTAGCACTTCGTCGAGAGACAGTCTCTGCTGAGTGGACTTGGCAGGCACTATGCAGTGCCAGGGCCGAGGACACAAGGCCAGCTTGGCTGTTGCGCTCAGCGTTCATGTGGCAGGGCAAAACAAGCCCACCAACAATCAAATAAGTTGATGAGCACAAGCGACATCGCCGATCCATGGCAGCCACTTCAAAAAACCATCACTGCACCTTGCCATGAACGAGAGGCCTAGGCATGGAAATGCAATCATGGAGGCAGGCAACATCGACCTGTTGGCCAAAACCTTGCAGAGTAACGAACCGACCGATTTCCCTGCTGTATCCGCCGGATGCGGGGCACCAGTGTCTTTCCCGTCGTGCCCCCAACGAAATCCACTCCGTTCAAGCCTGATGAGTTGCACATTACCTCCTTAGCCTTTAACTCTCTAGCCAACAGCTGGCATCTATCCACATGCCAGCACGACGATGTCAGTTAGTGACGGGAATGGTGCAATTTATTTCTACCGGCCATTGCCAACTTATCTCGGCCCCTTTTGGTCCAGGGCCGGGAGTTTTGCGCGAGGAGGGCGAGAGCGAACGAGAGCGCGAGATAAGGGGACAGACCCCGTGAGGATGTCAGACACCCCGTGGACCGCGGGTGAGCGCTCGCGCGCGGAGTCTAGGGAAGGACGCAGCGTAGGCTCCCCACCTGGTAGAGAGAGAGAGAGTTCGAGTTTAGGTTTCAGGGATTCAGGAAGGTTCAGATTGGTTGCCCCCCATGCTTGGCCTGAGTTCGCCACCTTCCCTGCACGTTTCCCCTTGCCCTGCGCGGGCACCTCTAGTGATTTAAAGATCAGCGGTTTGACAGATGTTCTTTCTGATTGAGAGCTTACAGAACCAAGATCCGCCACCTTGTTCGGATTAGTTGTGGCGCGCATATGCATGCGTGACTGCACGGCAGTGGTCCTCGCATAGACCTGGAAACTCCGCCCAGGTTTTTCTCGACATGTCTACGATTGTCTACGTTTTACTTACTCTTGGACATCCAAGTTCGACCATCATCTTGCGCGGTGGATCATGCTTACCTCCTTGCGGGGGTTGGTTCATTGAAATGATTTGCTTCTGCTGCAGTCCAGCCACGGCCACGACGAACCAGGTGGGGCTGAATTACAAAGTGATGGCAGGGTTTGCAGATGCGTGCAGGAGTTTGTTGAGCCTAAGCCGCCGGTGTCCGCTCTCGTCAAAGGCCAGCACACATGTGGCGTATTTGAGGTGCAAGCGCCACGTGAGCTGTCCAGGCGGGAAGAGCAGCCGTGGCGAAGAGATGGTGTCGGCGACCTGTTTTGCACTTTTTTGTGCTTCCGTGTTCTTAGGTTTTGGAATCAGAAGGGACTTCGGAATCTGCGCGGCTGTTGCTAATTCAACTGGGATTTCGTGTGCCGAGCCTTTCACATCGTGAAATGTTATGTCCTTTCAATCTTCCACGCGTTGTATTTTGCAACAATTGTGCTGTCAACCTTTTCATGGTATGACACGCTTGCCACAGATGCATAGAGGGGGCTGGCTACTAAGTACCAATAAGTACCATGTTCCAAGAGATCGCTTTGCAGTGACATGGCTTTTGAACGGGACATTGTACTGCCAGGCCAGAAGAACCTCGACACGATCGCATCTTCGCGACATGCTGAGGACCGACAGCACGACAGAGCATCTCCACTTGAAGGTCCGCGATGTTCCTGTGGGGAAAGGAGAGACCTACCATGACCCAGCCCCCAAGCCCATTTTGTGGGAACGCCAACTTGAGCCCCAAAGTCTTCGATGCCGAGCCACACGAGCCCCCTTTCGGTCACAGAGAACCTGCCTTGGTTCGAGCACACTTGCAGAGGACTTCAGCTGGGTGGGTGCGGCTTCCACCTCCCGGTGACTGCCAACCGGAGTCACCGGAGTCCGCCGAAGAGCTGGCAGACCAAAAAGAACCAGGACTGCAGCCGAGAGCGCGGCAAGTCAGCCTCGGACTGCAGCATGCAGGCCTTCGCAGACGCGAGAGTTGGCTGAAGTGGTGGCCGGAGCATGCCTTCTCCGAAGGATCGATGCAGTTCTGCCAATCTGCATCCAACCCCGACTACATCATTCTCACGTCTTGCAGCTTGTGGTTCATCAGAGAAGATTCAAAGACCTTGCGCACGGTGTGGACGGATGTTGCACGGGTGCACGCATCTGAGAGTCTGGAATCTAGGATTCCTGGCATTTTCCCTGTGAAGGCTATGCGTTGCATCAGCAAGAGCCTCGCCTGATTTCAGACATTTTGCAATTTCTGAGGGCGGCGGAGTGTTTGGCAGGAAGCGTTCTTCGAACGTTTGCCGAAGGAAAGGCTGAATTCAGAAGAGGCAGATAACCAGTGCAGTGCGTGATGTGGCTGCGTGTCCTTGGGCACAGTACTCCCAAGTGTCAGTCAGGGTGCAGACGCAATGCTGTCGGCATGGCTGCATTGACTGTCAGATGCAACTGCGCGATGCGATCATTGCCTTCCTGGAGAAATGGAAGGGGAAGGAGAGGGCCCTACCAGTAGCACGCCAGTCAGTGCACCAGAAGAAGAGATAGTGAAGCAGCCCAGCTGACGAGCCAGTATCCACCATGTTGCGAAACGAGTGCAGAGAAGTCAAGAAACGAAAAGCAAACATTACGCCCGGCCCGGAGGGTCGGGGCTGCCTCGAAGAACAGCTGCAAGGCCCAAGGCCCTTCGAAACTGATCCGGGCACGGGCAGATGCCGGAGAATGCTCTTAGGATCACTCCGAACCCTTAGCATCTTCGCAGACGGAGAACTGGACTCTTGAGGTCACTTGTCTCTGAAGGGCTCCTGCCTCTGGTGCACACTGCATGTTCCACAGCTCCGTTTCCATCTCTTGGCAAACAGACAGCGGGAGGATATGGCCTCTTTGGACGACATCGTTCAGGATCCCTGCGTTTCGGAGTGAGGGGCCCTCAGGACATGACTGTTCCGGCATTTGGTTCCAGCGTCTGGGAATGCCAGGCATCCGTAGCACCTTGCCAGAGAGCGTGCCTTTGGAGGATCCGCTCTGGTACGGGCTCATTTCTTTGTTGGTTTTGCTGTGATGGCTCGACATCCCGAAAAACTAAAAATCTGAAAAGGACTGGCTGCGCCGGCGCCAGCGCCTTGGTCGACGCGCAGCGCCGGTGTCAAGACTTGAAGCACCGAAGACGCCTATGGCAAGGCGGCACTTTACATGTGACATGTGTCACACGCGGCTTCATTTCCGTGTCAAGTGCAAGCCGGGCTCAAGAAAGGTGGAAGAAGGACCAGATGATTTCAGACCCTCTTGAGCCGGAGCAAAGACGGAAGCAACTCGGACTGCAACTGTAAGCCGCCCATAGGGCGTGGATCGGAAGTTGTTTAAGCATGAAATCAGGTTCCAACGTCGGGACTCCACGGAACGTCGACCCAGTGGAGTGGTAGCCCAAGTGGAAGCGTGTACAACATGCATGATGCCTGCGTGTGATTGCATGTGGATAAGGGCTGGCAGTGATGGGCCGGTTTCCTGAAGAGGTGTTTGGCCTCAACTTCTCGGTCAGCGATGCAGGGCAAATCTGCGGTCGCATAGCAGGCAGGCTGTGCCAGCAATGGAGCATTGGCTCGTGTTTAGCCCAGGGGACGACGAAGACATATGACGAGTTCTCGGCATTTGCTGTGCTTGTGCTGCGCCCCAAACTCAGAGCAAGCCGAGGCGACCTGCCATGGCCAACAACATCCGTAGTCCCAGACCAAAAGTCTTTTCAATGGATACGCGAAGTAGGTACGGCACAGTCGCAGTCATGTCGGCACGGAGCATCTGTACTGAGTTGAAGGTGCTGGTACACGACGACTGCTGCCGAGTGTGACCTCGCGGGCCAGTGGGATGGTCCTGGAGGAAAGCTTGGCATCAGCAGGGGTAACGGACACTTGTGGCTCTCATCAGGAGGTCATGGCCTGGCGCTTTCGCCACCGGTGCAGAGCTGCAAGTTGCCAGGATCGAGGCCGTTCTCGTTTCTGCGAAAGCCTTGGCACAGGTACCGCGCTCGAGGAGTGGAGCCAGTGCTGCAGATCTTTGGCGCCTTCAGCCACTGTCAGTCGTGATTTCTGTTGAGCACGAAAGAGAATTGCGAATCGGCGATGGGACGTTGAATCCTGCCGAGGAGAATGTGGCAGGTGGGCGGAAGTGGCCCATGTGCGAGACTGCTCTTGATGTCCACAGCGCAGGGAGGGAATGATGTTTCAGCTGCAGGGTGTGAACATGAACCAAAGCCCTGCTCCTGTCAGACATATCGATCAGCGAAGCGGCCGTCCACATCGCCGAGCTGGGACTATGCAGCTTGGCAGGTCAAAATGCTTGTTTTGGGTTCGCCACCTCGCAACTTTCGCAACTGGTCCTAGCACATGTCCTTGCCAGCAGAGCTCGTTCTAGACACTGACCCTGTCCTCACTCGAGCAGTCGGAATCGCACCGATTCTGCCCTGGGACTCTTGAATTCCGTTGTACCATCGCCCCGGGCAGTGGGGCAGCATTCCTTGGGTCGAGGGTTGCAATTTAGCGCTGGTTTCTTCTGCAGCAGCTGCACAAACATGAACGTTCTGAATTCTCGTATATTCTCATCCCTGTCACTGAAGACAAGCCTAATCTTCACAACACAGAACAGCTGCATTAAAAGCATCATTTGCACTTTACAAGTAGCTGATTGTTGGAATGTTGTGACCCTCCGGGGCAACCGCTTGCCAGTCAAGCAACGTGTACGTTGTCCTGCCGAGCTCGTTCGACTTCCCAACACATTTTCGTTTGCTTCGCTGACCACGCTGTCTCACGTGCCGATAGCCACTGTAGCCTCTCCGGCAAAACTAACCGGAGACGATAAGGGGAGTTCGGAGTTATTTGGAGTTTCGGTAGGGGTGGGCTTGGAATGGGCATCACGGGCTGAACCTGCCGCGGGAAGGCGAAGCTGCGAAGACCCGTTGGTGCGCAGAAAGGCGACAGAACAGGAATGCGGCACGGCCACGCGAAGCCTGAAAGCCAGTCTGAGAGGCAATCGAGAGTACAAGGGCAGTGCATTCAGGCATGGTGGAATGGCAAGGTGCAGCGCGACGCTGCTGAGGGAGTTCAGGAGTAGCGGCAGCGGGGCGGCTGGCCGGACACCGCGTTCAACAAGACAGGCTTAATAATTTATACGTCACATTTGCAAGATGAGCTCGGATCCGACATGCCGACGACATGGCAGTGCAGAGAGGAGAAGCGTGGTAACGCGTGGTGGAAGTGCTTGATGCCCCAGCTTGTCAAAATTGGTCCATGATGATGACGATGATCATGGTGATTACGGCGGTGCTGCTGCTGCCACAGCTGGTTCTCAAGCAATCGTGATTCCCGATGATGCTGATGATTTGTTGGTGTTTGACGCCAATGCTGCCGACGTTGATGCTGCTCATGTCGATGATGACGATGACTATGATGATGGTGGTGGTGGTGATGGTGACATTGTGATGATGATGATGATAATGATGGTGAGGATGATGATGATGAATAAAGTGATGACGATGATGATGAGGACGGTCGCGTTTGACCGCCCCACGCCCCCACCCTTTCGTGCGTGTGTCTGGCTGTCGAAATAGAGAGTGATGATAATGCCGATGCTGATAACAATAATGATGATAATGAAGAAGAAGATGGTGGTGGTGATGAAGATGCTGATGATGATTCCGATGCTGATGATGATGATGATGATGATGGCTTATGGTGGTGGTGATAATGATGATGATGGTGGTGATGATGATGATGGCTTATGGTGGTGGTGATAATGATGATGATGATGACGATGATGATGGCTTATGGTGGTGATGATATTGGTGATATTGGGGATGATGATGATGATGATGGCATCGATGCCACTAGTACGGCTGACATGTCGGAGGAAGTGGTGGTACCGATCTGCTGGGGCTGCAACGACTTCTACGTGTGTTTGAGTCTAAAGCGGTTGCTGTGCTTCTTTCAACATGGTGTCCGGCCCGATTTTGGCAATTGACCAAATCGCTACAGTGCGCCACAAGAGGGCAACGTAGACGAGTGTTTCGCAGAAGTGCGAAGTCCCGAGTATCGCGAGTTCTCGCGTGACAGCATGCGATGACAGTCCGCTCAAGGCGGAGACGTGGGAAGGGCGAAAAATGCCTGCATGAACACACTGCAAAGGCTTGCGAACATTTTGTATGCCCCTTTGACAGACCACCAGATTCGGATCAATGTGTCAGGATATTGCAGAAATAGCACAACCCGGCAGAAGCCAGACAACTTGCACTTGAGTATGAGCTGGAGGCGGCGAACCATTCCTTCATGATTTTCGACAACCACTTACTTAGGTCAACTTCATCTGCCAACTGCGCAAGTGCAAGACAACCAATGGACCCCGAGGGGAGTAGGTGGTCAATGTCAGATGCTAGCCGGCTAACCCCTGCGGATGCATTTGCAGACGATCGCTGGGCATTGAGCAAGCAGGCCAGTCTGGAAGCTATGTCCCCCCCATTGAGAAAGGATGAGTCTGCGTGCAAGTCTGGAAGGCCATGTGAAGGGCCATGGGGTTCCGGCCCCAGCCTTCCCATTGCCCGCAGGGCCGTGCGTCAGCCAAGCTCAGGAAAAAAAGAGCAAAAACTGCTGAGGAGCACTGGAGCACTGAATATCAGAGTATTTCCGTGTCCGAGGTTGCTTGTTTTTTGCGATGTTGTTTAGAGCACGGGCCCATGCGCCTTGCGTGACCATGTGGCTTTCTTTCATTTCATTGGCGCGCACAAGGAGGACCAGCCGAATAGCAGCAGCGCCGCCAGGTTTGGAGCCCTGCGGTTTCAGGTCAGAGGATGTTGCCTGGTCTGGTCAGCACTTCCGCAAGTTGTGGCCAAAGATGCATGCCGCGAAACTCTCCGCTGCTTTTGCCCACGAGGCAATCCGAGGGCCCTGCAGACTCTGCAGATGTTGTCCAGGACGGAGTGCTGGTTCCACAAGCAGACAGGCAGACGGACTCACAGACGCTAAAGTTCAACTAAATACCCAGACTCAGGCAATCTCAATCAACAAATCGAGCGGATCAATTGT